ATAGAAAGCAAACTAGGATGGGCCATGTGGAGTCTCACTGTACAGCCCAAGATGGCCTTGAACTCACAGGGATGCTGATGTGCCTGCCTTGCAAGCAGGGCCGCAGGCGTCTACTGCCATAACTAGCTTCTGGATACCATTTTGGAGGGGATAATTGTTCAAACCCTGGAGCCCCCAGTGAGGTTTTATTCCCCCAAACACAGGGCTGATTTGTGTAGCTCCGGCTGTCCTGGAACTCACTCTGTAGACCAGAGATCTGCCTGCCTCTGCCTACAGAGTGCTGGGATTAAAGGTGTGTGCTGCTGCCACCCAGTTTCCCAATCCAGATTTACGCAGCACAGCTACAGCCTTTCCCAGAAAGATTCTGCTGGCCTTAAATAGCATCCTTTTCAGGAGGAAGATTTTTTCTGGTGTCATTTTCATGTTTACTAATTGAAATTAAGATGAAACAGAACATCTTGCAATTAAGGTGGCATTTTTCCCTTTTTTAAATTATTCAAGTGGTTTATAAACATCTCTGGTGAACAACTTCAACAATACCGAAGTTGAAAGACTGTGATTTTGTTCTGTCTTGGTCTGAGTTTTGAGACAAGGTCTTACATAATCTAAGATGGTCTCAAAACTCAGCAGTGTATGCTGGATGGTGGTGGCACATGCCTTTGATCCCAGCACTACAGAGGCAGAGACAGGTAGATCTCTGTGAGTTCGAGGCACAGCCTGGTCTACTGTAGACAGAAGTTTCTGTCCCACCTGGTCCCATGGCCATTCAGTCCCAAAGAAACACACAGAGGCTTATATTAATTATAAACTGTTTGACCTATTAGTTCAAGTTTATTATTAAGTAACTCTTACAACTTAAATTCCATAATTCTTATCTATATTTAGCTATATGGCATGGTACCTTTTCTCAGTAAGGCTTTCTCATCTAGCTTCCTCTGTATCTATCTAGTAAACAACTCTCTGCCTTTCCTCTTCCCAGAATCCTCTTAGCCTGGTTGCCACACCTATACTTCCTGTCTGGGTACTGGCCCATCAGCATTTTATTAAACAAAAATGGGTGACAAATCTTTACAGTCTACAGAGCTAGCTCCAGGACAGCCAGGGCTTCACAGAGAAACCCTGTCTCAAAAAAACAAGGACAAAGCCGGGCGTGGTCACACCTTTAATCCCAGCACTTGGGCGACTTAAAGAAGGAAAGGTTAACTAGCAGGTTAACTAGAGAAGAGCCCATGGGGCAGCAGGAGTTGAGGCAGCTGATCACCCCGTGTTCCGTTCGGGTTGTTGAGATGAATGACGCGTTCAGCTTGCTTTCTCCTTCATATTCAGTCCAGGATCCCACGCCATGGGATAGTGTCACCCACAGTGTGAGGGTCTTCCCACCTCAGGTCATCTAGATGATCGCCCACATATATGCCCAGAGGCTTGTCTCTTAGGCAACTCCAGATCTCATCTGGTTGAGGACAGAAATGAACACTGCGGCTGTGTGCGTGCTAGACGAGCGCTGAGTTGCCGCAGCCCTGCTTTGTTGTTGCTTTTCCTTTCCAGACAAAGTCTCCTCTGTAAGCCAGTCTGTCCTGCCCATTGGATTAACCCGCACAGGATGAGGCAAGGGCACTCATTTCTCTACCTAGACATAGCTCCCATTCTTTACAGCATGGGGTGGCAGTGTGTCTCCTTGCCAAGTGGTGGTCTTCTGATCCCAGACGGTTGACAGGCTATAGAACCAAGGCGGAAAATCCCATGGTGGCTATGTTTTCGTAACGTGGTATGAAGTAGAGTCCTGACTGGATAAGTGGCGTCCACTGCCTCAGGATGAAGCCACTGAACGTGGCTGTAGGAACTTGAAACACGCTGCAGTTCCCAAGGGTAGCATACGTGGGACAGGCTTGGCCATTGTGTGACCATTCCTGTGTGATGGGACCAAGAACATGCACCCAGCATCCTCCACGTTAGCCTCTGACTTGGCAGGTGGGCTAGCCTCTGATACTTCAGAGTAAACCTGATACCAGAGACAGGATGAGATGAAGGAGCTGGGTTGCCATGTTTTCTGGCTAGAGAGGCAAAAGTGTACAGGTGAGGGAGCTGGAGAGATGGCTCAGAGGTTAAGAGCATTGCCTGCTCTTCCAGAGGTCCTGAGTTCAGTTCCCAGCAACCACATGGTGGCTCACAATCATCTGTAATGCGGTCTGGTGCCCTCTTCTGGCCTGCATATTGTATACATTATAAATAAATAAGTATTTAAAAAAAAGTGTACAGGTGAGATGGGTGCCTAGGGCTGCTGGAACTGGGAACCCATAGAAAGAAACAAGAATGGGGAAGAGGGCAAGGGGAGTAACAGGAGCCGGCCCCTGAGCCCGACGTTTAATAGAGAGAAACAGAATCTGGGATTCAACACACAAGAATGGACGACCCAAGGGGACGACAGGCAGGGAACACTCTGCACCCAAACTGCTCAAACTGGCAAAGACTTTTAAACATGCAATGAAAGAGCCTGTCACCGCTAGCTTGTGAGACTGTGAGACGTGGGGGCGTATGGACTCAGTCTGGCTGCCGTGGAGGCAGGAAGAAAACTGAGCAATGGAGCTATCCGTCCCTCTTCGAGACAAAGGCTGCATAAGCTGAGATGACCTGAGGGAAAGCAGACCCTGTGAGGCTGGCTTCTGTGGGACACTAGGGGCACACGTCCCCATGGGCATCGGAGACAGAGGAATGATTGGTACGGATGAGAGAACGCGGCATGAGAAGAGCAACATCTGATCTCAGTTCACCAGGCCAGAGAACTACAGGAGACTTAAGAAAGATGAGCCTGGCTGGAGAGTGGCTCAGAGGTTGAGAGCACTGGCTGACAATTGGTCCCGGGTTCAATTCCCAGCAATCACATGACAGCTCACAACTGTCTGTAACTCCAGTTCCAACAGACCTGACACCTTCACACAGACACACACGCAGGCAAAACACCAATGCACATAAAAAATAAATAAATGTAAAAAAGAAAGAATAAAAGAGAGAAAGAAAAATGATCCTGCCAGCTCAAAAGGTAACTCTACTTCCCTAAATTCTGGTGGATAGACAAAGGCCAGCGTCCTCAGGAACTTATAAAGCAGGTTTCCCTCTACCAAAACAGATCATTTTCCTTATCACTAGCAAAAGGGACAAATTGGTATCGGTGGTGCCTACTGGCATACCAAAGCACATGTTGGTCTCCAGGCTCCTCAGTACCACAAATGCCTGCTCCACGCTTCATAGTTCACGCTAGCATCCCAACTCTGATCTTCTCACCTCCTCCCTACCCTAAACTCCCTCTGCTCCTGAGCTTCCTTCCCCCAGCTACTGACTCTCCTTAGAGCACTATTTTGATCATGTTCCCTCTCTCTCTCTCGTCTGAACTCCGTCTTCCTCTCCTGTTCTCCCCCACCCCGTCTCTTTGCCCTGCTCTGGCCTGTCCATGTACAGTCTTCTGCTTTCTCTCTACTCTGGACTCTTCCAGAGGCCTCTAGCTATGTTCTCCCCCACCTATCTAAAACACCTTCCCCTTAACCACAACATGGAGTGACCACGACATCATGGCATTTATACAGATCCAGGACATAGCTCACTGAGTCACGATGGCTGTGGCATAAACCCGAGGTACCATAGTGTCAGGAGAAAAAAAACCTGCTAAAAGTCATCCTCTAACCTCCACAAGTTGTGCACACACGATCACTAATAAATAGCAAGAGGGTGATTCCACGGGGGTCTTGGGATGATACAGGTCCTAAGGGCCTCTCTGAGGCCCATGATATAATCTTCAAGGCATGAGCAGCTCAGGAAAATCTGAATGACTTTGACCAGCATGTGAACTGGGTTCAATGATCTTCAAGGCATGAACAGCTCAGGGAAAGCTGAATGACTTTGACCAGCATGGAACTGGGTTCAAAGAGTGGCGACATGAGACTGGCCTGCTCAGCTCCAGAACGCCCCTTCCGTGAACTGTCAGTCACCGGCCAGAATGGGCTTTTCAGTGGGGTAGCTGCCTTTGAGTCACCCACACTCTCCTGTACTTGAGGTCCCTCCCCCAAAATTCACTTGACAGTGCCCTATTTGGGGCGAGTAGACATGTGTTCGTTAAGTCATCTCTCTGCTACACAGCAAGTTCAAGAACAACTTGGGCTATATGAGAAAAAAAAAAGGAAAATTAGGTTTTTTTTTCCAAAACCATTAAATAAATGTTGAACTAGTAATTAAGATAAATCTAGATTTGACAGTGTGCCAAACTGCAAGTCACCAGTCCCTTAGCTGAGGTCTTCAGGGACAGATGCATTTCAGAACTCAAGGTTGATCCAATTTTAGAGAGGCCATTCTGCACCTAACATGCAAACCCCCAGGGGCCTGAGGCAGGCACAGTCCATGTCCTCCATCAGACATGGTAATCTTTTTGCAGCAAATGTGTGAACACACTGGAAGGAATAAACACACACACACACACACAAATAGCTTGTTATTTGTCACCATGTGAGAGTGAGGTAAAACACTACCCCTCCCCCCCACACACACACACCAAAAAAAATGTTTAAAGTCATCAGAGCTGATCAGAATTCAAAATCCACTAGCTGGACACAGTGGCACACATCTGTAATTCCAGAACTTAGAAGGAGAATTGCTGAGAACACAAGGACAGCCAGAGCCATGTCAGTGAGACCTTGCCTCACATCCAAGGGTTAAGTCACAAGACACAGAAGCACAATGACAATAAATGGAGACCCTCTGGAGACAGAAAAAAGGAAAAGCAGGGAGAAGATAGTAGAGGGAGACGAGAAGAAAGGCTGAGGACCATGGAGTTGGAAGAAGACATTGGAAAGCAGAAAAGGAAGCACAGAGGGACAAAAAGGAGGGCCTCGCCTCCCAACTCACGACTTACTGGTGTGTGGCACTTTGGGCTGACAGGCTACCCAGGGAAATGTAAGCGGTGACTCTGAGTGGGCTGAAGAACGAGGTGGAGACAGGGAGCAAGCCAAAACACCTCAGGTTTGGATCACGAGTTTAATTCTCTGAGCAAAATTGAGCTATCTTCATTTTACAAGACCAGAGAGGTTAAGTACATGGCTGTGCATCGTCCTGTGGGGAATGCTGGTGGAACAGAAGGGAACCAGTAGGGCAGATGACATGCTCCCAGCTGACACAAGGCTCAGTTCCTGGGATGCTGTCCAGCTTAAGGGGAAAGAAGGTCATACAGGAAAACCCCTTCTTGCAGCAGGGTATCCCAGCCTGCCTAAGGCCAGGCTGCAGTAACAGGTAAGGGAAAATGGACTCAATCGCCTGACTTCTTTATCAGAAGCTATACCAGCTTCTCAGTCAAGGCACCAGCAGCAGTGTAGCCCAGAGGCTGTACCCACCTCATTTTTTTGGTTCAGTTATATACTCTACACTTCCCAAAGCAGCAAATGTGTACTGTCACCACCCAAACCCCGGTTCATCTCTCTGACTCCAGGAAAAAAGCTACAGCATCACTGGCCAGGGCCTAAGAGCACAAGCGACAGCTTCTATTCCTGCCACTGCAAACTATACCAACAGCAGTTCCCATGACTGTCTCCTCTGACACAAGGGCCCAGGTCCTTGACACACGGAAAACTGATAAGGCCTTCACAGTATCTGACCTTCAACAGCCCTGAAACTGGCAAGCCGCTTCCCCCCCACCCCCAATTCAACCCAAAATTTACATGTTAGCAATGAAGAGAAAAGCCTCTAAGGCTGCGGGACTACAGGGTTCGAGAGAGGACCAGCGCGCGCTGCAGACGACCACAGACCAGGGAAGCGCAGCTGAGGCTGGAGTTTATTGCAGATGAACGCAGAGTCCCTGGGAGGAACGTGGTGGGTGGAAGTCGGTCTGGATCAGGACCACGGCCAGGGGAGATGAGGCCGCAGGCGAGGCCCAGTGGTGCGGAGGGAGCTGGCGAAGGCCGCGGTGGGGGCGGGCCAGGCTATCCCGGCGCTCGGTGCACGGTCTCGGACGTCGCTCCAGGCGCTGGGCGGCGGCTGTGGCGGCGGCTCCTAGGCAGTCCCGGCGGCTGCAGTCTTGGCCCGCCGGAGGCTCCGAGCAGGCAGGAGGCGGCAGGAGGTGGGGCGGGTGGCGCTGCACGGGCACAAGGAGCGGCAGGCGCACTGGGCAGGGGGTCGGCCGGGCCGGCAGGCGGCCGCGTGGGTACCCAGATAAGCCCGTAGTACACCGCAAGCAGCACGGCGGCCAAGGACACACACAGGAAGTAGGCGCACACCGGAGCAAGGCGCAGCCATCGGCCACGGGGAGCCTCGCTCAGCCCGGCACTGCCTGGGCTCTCGCCACCGCCGCCCACACAGCTCGAGCCCCGCATCTCGCTGCCCACTCCACCCGCGCTGGCCCCGCCCCCACCCCGTACCGCCCCACGGAGGTCCAGGCCCCGCCTTAGACCACATCACGCAAACCACGCCCCTCCTAGGACCACACCCCCCTATAAGAGCTTCCCACCTGCTCTAAATCACCCCGGCCCCCCAAGTCTGGCCACACCCTAGACACGCCCCTACCGCCTCTGGCCAACCACTATCAAGAAAAGATCTTAGCCACACCCCTTGCAGCCACACCTGCTTATTCTCCAAGCGCCCTGAGACTCCTGTTCCCCACTCTGGGCTCCTCCCAGCTCGTCGGAACCCTCCCCCCCTTTTTTTTTTTTTGGTTTTTCGAGACAGGGTTTCTCTGTAGCTTTGGAGCCTTTCCTGGAACTAGCTCTAGACTAGGCTGGCCTCGAACTCACAGAGATCCGCCTACCTCTGCCTCCCGAGTATTGGGATTAAAGGCGTGTGCGCCACCACCGCCGGGAGGAGCCCTCCCTTCTAGCTTCGATTGCAACTCCCACACACAAGTCACCCTCCGCCTGTCGGAGGTCAGGTCCCAGTCTGTTGAGCAGAAGGACGCCTAAAGAGCGCTAGCCCCGCCCACCGAGCCTAAGTCCCGCCCCTCCCTGCTTCACAGCATTGGGCCGCCTGCACCAGTTTGGAGGATCCAGCTCCGGCCCTCGCCCCAGCTGGCCCCTACCCCAGTAACTCCGCACCAGTGTAACTTCTCCCGCTCCCTAGAGGTACAGAGTGGGCTGCAGGGACGAAAGCAGCCAGGCAAACCTGCGCTGCCGGCCCTCCCAGCGTCTTCAGGATTGAGGGATGGCCTGCGGGGTGGGAGGGGAGAGGTGTCAGGACGGCGGAGAACACCCTCGTCCCGCCTCTTCCGCCACAGCAAAGCCCGCCAAGCACAGCAGCCCAGCCTGTCCCGCCAGCAGCACAGTTCAAAGGTTGCCTTTAATTCAAGTCCTCCAGAGAGCCTCAGGCCCTAGCGGCAGAGTCCTGCACAGCCAGCCTCACCAGCCAGGTGGCCTCCACCAGCCAGGTAACATAGGCATTCGGGTTGCCTAGACTGGTCCTCAGAGAATTTAGAAGACTCCCCGGGTCCCGACCGTCGTCGTTGACCTGGCTCCTCCCACCCTCTACGTTTAACCCTGTCCTGGCCGGAGTGTAGCAGTGTAGCAGAAGCAAAGGAGCGAAGTGGCTGGAGGTTAGTGCAGAGCGCCAAGACCCCTGTTTGCTGGCGCTGTCAGCGGGCAGCCCCCGGCGGCGGAGTGGCCGCCACCACCTTGCAGAAACGCACCCTCTGGAAGTCTGTGATCTCCGCTGTCTCCTGGCCCTCGGGGCCTACCTCTGAGGAAATAAAAAGTGGTAAATGGAAGACCAGCCTGCCCGATCCGCCCTGTCCTGCACCTCAGTCAAACCCGCCTGCAGCTTGGCCTCCAGTATACTCAAAATCTCAGGAAGCCCACGAAGCAGAGCCCCTTCTAACCTAACCCCGTCGACTACTGGGAAGCGCTGGTATAATGAAATAACCGTCATCTTCCTAGGACCACAAACTGTTTTCTAGCCCGGTCCCTCAGTCTCCATCTCCACCACTCATTTGACTGTCAGTTCCTGGGCTCTGCTCTACACCCTATCCCGCTGCAGGGGAAGGGAAAGAGGACACAGGCAAGAAACCTGGTCCACCACGTTAAGGGGCCAAGAACAGCCTCTTGCTTCTACTCTGCGGGGTCCAAAATTCCACTCAGGTCTGCTCCAAAATGCTAACCCTGACCTCAGTAAGTCTAACAGTTGGCCCCGTTCATTTGTTCGTTCCTACTTTTTGCTTTTACAAAAGTAGTCTCAAGCTCAAGATTGTAGGGAATCAGCCTCTTCCTTCTGGGTATGATCAGATTTTGAATCCCGCCTTTAACTCCCTCCCTAAACCTAGCCTCAACCCTTTACCTTAATGAGCTTCCCGATTCCAGCTTCCTGGCCCTGCTAGTCACAATTCCTGTCGGCTGGAGCCTTACAGCCCACCCTCTGCAGCGACTCAGGCCTGACTCCAGGCCCACTCCAGTAGGCATGAAACAGCACCTGACTCACCTCATGCCCTGCCCTCCCCCCCATCACCCCATAGGCCCCACCCACTTTGTCCCCAAGCCCTTCCCAGCCCCCAGAATGCAAGCAGACCACCCACCTCCACCAGCTTCATGCACCCCACCTGGAGATGCCTCAGGCCCCTCTTCTTCAGACTTCGGGGCTCTTGTTAAGGTTGGCCCACTCTCCAAGGAGGCAAGGGCTGGCTGGTCACCTCCTGGAGAAGGGGAGGCTCAGTCAAGCCCCTCCTTTTCCAAACACCTCCCAGTGTGAGGGGAACAAGGGAGGGGGCTCAAGGACACAGTGGGGGTGTGTCATTTAAGGAAATGAACTTTTTATTGGAGAGAGGCTCTGAACCAGCAAGAGCAGGCTCTAGGAAATGGGCTAAGGCATGGAGTAGCCACCAACTGCCCTTCCCTGCCACAGGGTTTGAGGGAGGTGTGAGCACAGCCACACCCTTGTGAGCTCACAGGAGCATGAGCACACACACACACACACACACACACACACACACACAGCTGGTTTCACGCATTCCCAAACGGCCAGGCCTCACCCGCAGAGTGGGCACCGGGAGAATTCAATTCCATCTCCTCACCCCAGTCGGACACGGGCTGGTGGTCCCCGGTGGGCGACAAGGGGCTGGGAGGTTCAACAGGGACTGGGGACAATGACTCCTGGGGCCTGGCAGGTGCAGGGTCCGCCTGCTCACAGGTGGGCTTCCGAGCTGGCTCAGCCTCTCCAGGCTGGTGATCTGGAACAGCTGGGGCCTCCTGCTCCTTAGGACACTCTTCCTCCTCCTCCTCAAACTCCTCTTCTTCCTCCTCGTCGTCCTCCTCCTCCTCCGTGATATCTTCACTCACGTCCTCCCATTCTTCATCCTCATCATCATCTTCCCTCTCCTCTTCTCCCTCCTCTTCCCCCTCATCTTCCTCACCATCCTCCTCAGGAGGCCGGTGGGCTGGGGCTGGGGTCTCCGGAGGCTGCTGGGAACACAGGCAGATCAGGGAAAGGCTTGGGGCTGAGCCCCGCCCCGCCCCCGCCCCCGCCCCCGCCCCCGCCCACACATCCTACTTTCCTCCCTGCTCTGCCTTACCCGTGTGGGTGCCTCCTCCACGGACAAGGATTGAGAGGACTCAGGGGCTGAGGACACAGCTTCCTCTTTTGTCTCCCAGCGATTATCATGGTCACTGGGGAGGAGAGAGAACAGGGGTAGGGCCTAGGTGAGGGGACAGACTTCTCAGAGAACATCTGTTCTGCTGCACAGAGGGCAAAGAGGACAGCAGACACAAACAGAGCCGAGACAGATCAGTGTGTCCTCAAACTCAAGCCAGAGAGGACTCCACACACCCAAACACAACAAGAAAGAATTTCCCATGGGAAGGGCACCCCACCTATAGGCATGAGGGGCCACCTTGGCCTGGGGTCGGCTGTTCTTTCTCCTCCTGCGGCTCTTGACTTCTGCTTTGTGCTGAGAAAGGAACTCTCCAAAAGTGGGGGGCTTAGGGGGCCTTGCCCAAGTTTGGTCATCTACAATAGAAGCCCAGATCCAAGAACTTAGGGGATGGGGACACAGTACATGCCACACTCAAACCCCACTGCTTAACCTAACCCCTTCCAAGACACTACTCACCATAGCGGTGGGACAGTTCGTGGGTAGGAGCTGGCTCATCCTTGAACCTAGGAAAAGAGCAGAGCAAGCAACAGCTGAGGAAACTAGGGAGAGCAAGAGAAAGCAGGGGAGATGGAGGCAGGGCCAGATCAAACTAAAGAGGCCCCAAAGGAGCCACTGGTTAGAATGGGATCAGACAGAATGAGGGATGAGAGGCAAACCCAGCTTCCTAGTTTCAAAACCAGACAAAGAAACAAATATAGCTTCTGAAATAAAAACGTGGAGGCTAAAGAGATGGTTCACTCCTCCCACTGACATCAGCACCTTGTGAGTGGAGCAGCAAAAAAAGTCCCTTGGAATTGCTGCCCTCAGTTTGCACCCCAGAATGAACACTCAAGTACATGTTCAATACAGAGCAAGGACATAACTGTGGGTCAGGCATGGTGCCACATATCTGGGATCCTAGCATTGAAGAGATGGAGGCAGAAGACTCAGGGTCAGACTGTCCTTGATTCCATAGGAAATTCAAGATCAGCCTTGGTTATATGAGGTCTTGTCTCAAATAAACAAAAAGTAAACAAGGAAACTGTCACTACCAACAACTCCAATCTATAGATAAGCAGAAGGTTCTGAATGAGTCCAGGTCACCCAGCCACTCGGGATCGGCCGTTGTGGGTTTTTCCTATCCCTTCCCCTTTGCTGGCTGTGCAGGAAGATACAGAACCTGAATGGCTGAGAGTTCTATGCTAGCCTAGGTTAACACAGCCCAGGAGGCCTGTAAGCAAGTGACAAAGTGTTTCCTATACCAAAAAAAAAAGTTTTTCCTGGGCATTCTGTGAGGCTCAATTTAATGCCCATTGGATCTGCATACCCAGGACTACATGGTAGAACTGAGGAGCTGTCCTCTCTGTCCTCTCTCAATAAAAAGATTATATATATATATTTATACATATAAATATATATAATATATAAAACCATAGACATGGCTCAGAGGACCCAGTATCCACATGGCATTTCACAACTGTCTGTAACTCCAGGATCCAACAAGCAGGAAGACTGAAAGATCAAAGCACCCCAGGTAACACTGTCTCGAAAAGGAAAAAGAAAGTGAAAGGGCAGAAGAGATGGCTCTGTAAGCTCTGGCTGCTCTTCCAGAGGACCCAGGTTCATTTCCCATGCCAACATGGTAGCTCACAACCCTCTCTAACTCCAGTTCCAGGGGATCTGACACCCTCCTCTAGCATTCATGGGCACTAGGCGTGCACATTTTGTACAAACATACATGCAGACAAAACACTCAATACACATACATGTTTTTAAAATTTTTAAAGGTGGGGAATGGGAGCTAAGGAGACAGTTCAGTGGTAGAGCCCCTCTAGAATCCACCAGTGAGGGGCTGGGGGTGTTGCTCAGTGGTAAAGCCCCTGCCTAGAATCCCCCAGTGAGGGGCTGGGGAGTGTGGCTCAATGGTAGAGCCCCTCTAGAATCCACCAGTGAAGGGCTGAGGGTGTTGCTCAGTGGTAGAGCACCTCTAAAATCTACTAGTGAAGGGCTGGGGTGTGGCTCTAAGGTACAGCACCTGTCTAGAATGCCCCGACATGCCAAAGGCCATAGGTTCAATCCCCAGTACCAAAGGGAGAAAAGGAAGCCAGGCTCGCATACACCGAGACCAAGCAGGAAGACCAACTCACATGCCATCGGTCTTCTCGGCATCCCATTCCCGCCGCCACTGCCCAGTCGGCTTGCGGTGTCGCTGCAGGCGCTCTTGGTCGATCTTCTCCCTCTCCTGCTTCCAGCGCAGGTAATCTGACCGCTCTCGGCCCGTCATGGACATTGTCATGTCGCCCCCACAGCCCAGGCCAGCCCTGCGGCCCTGCAGGCACCACAGGCAATCAGACCCCAGTTCCCTTCCATACCCTCTCACCCCAGACACAAATAGGGCCACTGTTCAGGGCACACAGGGCAGAACTGACAAGCAGCAAGCTGAGTGGGTGGCTGAGGAGGTGGCCTTCTCAGAAAGGCTCTATGTCCTATCTATTTATTTTTGGTTTCAGACCAGGTCTCAGGCCAGGGTGACTGCCCCAAAGTCACTGTAACACTAAGTATAAACTGGGCGGTGGTGAGCAGGCCTTTAATCCCAGCACTAGGGAAGCAGAGGCAGGCAGATCTCTGTGAGTTCGAGACCAGCCTGGTCTACAGGAGCTAGTTCCAGGACAGGTACCAAAAACTGCAGAGAAACCCTGTCTCGAAAATCAAAAAAAAAAAGACTACCTGGGCAACTTTATAAAAACAAAAGGGCTGGGGATGTGGCTCACGGGTAGATAGTTCACATAGCATGTGTAAGACCCTGGGGATATCCTAGCATGGCAAAAAAAGAAAAAAAGAAAACAAAAAGTCCAACATGAATCCTTAGCAAAGACAACACTGGCAGCAGGGCATAGTGGTGGGCAGCTTTAAATCCAGCACTCAGGGTAGAGGCAGGTAGATCCCTGTGCTGGGCATAAAGCTGGAACTCCATGTAACTGGGCTGGCCTGGAGTTCCAGGTCACCAGGGCTAGATAGTGAGACCCTGTCTCAAAAAGAAAATAGAAACTGGGTGGTGATGGCGCCTTTCATCACGGCACTCAGGAGGCAGAAGCAGGAGGGTCTCTGTGAGTTTGAGGCCAGCCTGGTCTACAGAGCAAGTTCCAGGACGAGCTCCAAAGCTACACAGAGAAACCCTGCCTCGAAAAACCAAAAAAGAAAAAGCCATGGTAACCCAAATGGTTGAACTACATAGTGAGATCCAAACCAGCCTGAGTCCTTATGTCAAAAGCCCCCAAATCAAGCAAGGGCTAACAACTCCACACAGAGAGCAGCACCTGCTTTGTCATTCCCCACCAGCTCAAAGCACAATTCTTGAGAAGCTGCAGCAGCACCTACCTGTCTCTCATGCTCCAAGCCAGAGCGTACCCTGTCGAAGTCAGAACCTCCCCAGTTGCGGCCGTGCCGGCGGCTGCCCTCCCGGCGATCCCTCTCAGGTTCCTCCAGGGGTCCAGCCCGACGCCGGGGATCATCCAGGAAGTTGCGTACTGGGTTGGGCTCCAGTACTCCTTCCTGCAGCAGAAGAGCGGGCAGGTGGGCAGGGGAGGAGGCACGGGGTGCCTATCCGCTCAGCCCACCCCCAGGCTGCCCAGTGCTGACCCGCTGGTTGCGCTCGTACTCAGCAATCTTCTCCATCTCCTCATTCATCTTCTCAATGTTCTGCCTGCGCCGCTCCTCCCACTCCTGGGGCGACAAGATGTGACACCGTGGTGTAGGAGGTTCTTCTGTCTATGTGTTACTTTCATTGGTTAAATAAAGAGACTTCCTTAGCATTTTGATAGGGCAGAAAATTAGGTGGGTAGAGTAGACAGAACAGGATGCTGGGAAGAAGGCAGGCCGAAAGAGCCACCATGGGTCAAGCCGCCAGGTCAGACATGCTGAATCTTTCCCAGTAAGCCAAGACCTCATGGTGAAATACAGATTATTAGAAATGGGTTAATCAAGATGTGAGAGTTAGTCAATAAGAGGCTAGAGCTAATGGCCAGGCAGTAATTTAATTAATACCATTACCATGTGGTTATTTCAGGGGTTAAGCTAGCCAGGCAGCAGGATGCAGCCTGCTCCCCATTACAACAGACATGACTGTCAGAAAGAACCATATAACTAGCTGTGCCAAAAACACAGGGCAGCCCAAACTCTCCAAGGACAAGCAGGTGACAAGTGGTGTCTGGCCTGGAACTTATTTGGATGTAGGAGACCCTGGCATACTTCAGTCACCATACAAATGGTGCATCTTTACCCAGCCCATCTAAACACTAACAGGGTTTACAAAGAACAACCAAGTGGACAGGACTCTCGTTTTCCAGCCTCCAAGCTGGTGGGATGGCCAAGTGCTTCCCAACAAAAATGAAAGAAAATGTATTTTCTCTGTTGGTGTCCCACTGTTCACCTTGTGGAAACAATCCACACAGAGAGGCAGGCAGATCTCTGTGAGTTTGAGGCCAGCCTGGTCTACAGAGCAAGTTCTAGGATAGGCTCTAAAGCTACAAAGAAACCCTGTCTATTTTCCCAACACCAAGTCCAAGGCCAACCTGAGCAACCTAGTTGAAGAGATCCTGTCTCGGAGTAAAAGCTAAGGGCTGAGGATATAGTTCAATGCTAAGGCACTCATCTAATATACACGAGGCCCAAGACCAGAAAAATGAATGAATGAAAACCAGGGAACAGAAACCTTGGCCCAAGCTTCATGGCCTGCTTGGTGCCTACCTTGGACTTGCGATCAGAGGTTGAGCTATCCCCTAGGAGATGAGGGGATCCCCGGCCCCGGCCTCTCTGGCCCCGGCCTCCAGTTCCTCCTCGAAGCTGTTCCCCAGCACCATTCTCCCAGCCTCGGGATGCCCGGCTTACTCCTGCCCGGCCTCCCTGCTGGGGGTGGGTCCGGCCCCCTCTGTTGGCTCCTGAGGGTCTGGGGGTCCCAGGAGTCCTCCGAGAGGGACCCAGGCTCTTCTCCTGAAAAGGGGAAGGAGGGGAAGTCAGCCAAAGGAAAGGTAGACTGGGGCAACCTAGGCCCAGAGCAGGCAGTTCTGGGTCCCAGGCCTCAGCCCTCTCCCTCGTCCCAAGCCTGAGAATTCAGACATGCTGGACTCTCCACCTCTACTGCCACATTCTCCTTCTCCATGGAACGGCTTTTCCGGGGAGCTGTCACCGCCACACCCTCCGATTCAGCATTTTTCCGGTCTTCCTCGATCTCCTAGGAGGAAATATCCAAGGCAATGGAGTGTTAGGGGTCCTGTCCACCAGCTGGACTCCCACAGTCCTCTACAGTCTCCTATGCTTCCCACTCAGGCTTCTTTCCAGAAAAGCCCCCACTGTAAGCCCATCTGTAAGAGCCAAATCCTGCCCCACCATGGGGCCCTCTCCTGCATGCACTCTGGCCTTCCTGCTATTCCCCAGGTTTTCTATACCAGCTGCTCCTCTACTAGAGCAACCCTGGAACTCCTTACCACCTACCTGCCACTCTCTCTGTTCTCATCCCCTGCTTGGTAAAACATGGGGATACCTGTTAGACTGTTCGCTGAAGCACCCACACACACACTTCACTTCCCAGCCTACAGAGCTGCCTGGCCAACAATCAAACCCAATTATTTTTTAATAAATGAATGCATGAAGAATGAGTCAATGAGGACCACCCTCCTCCCAGGTCCCTTCATAAAGACAGCCCCACTGCTTCCTCTTGGGCCCTGCTCTGGACCCTCCCTCCCCCTCCCATTGTAGCCCCAACTGCCCTTGGTCAATGAGAGTCTTTCAACAACCCAGCCCTGAGCCAGGCCTGTCCTCTCCAACTAGGCCCTGCCCCAGCTTTCCCTACTACCTGGACCCCCTCTCCCTCTCATCTAGCACCACTGTGAAGAGCTATTCTGACCAGGTCTCACTCCATTCAACATCCTCCATGGCTCCCTAATGCTCTTAAGCATTTTCCAACCTACATGAGTGGCCCCTGATTGACTCCTAAATCAATTCTCCACCAACTTTCCAAGCCCTCTCCACATCCAAACAATTGCCCGAGCTGTTTGTCTTGTGAGAAACATAACCCACCTCCTTCCCAATTAGCTAATGTCTAGGCATCCTTCAGTTCTCAGCATCCCCTCCACCAGAAAGCTCTCCCTAATGTCCTCAGGTTAATTCCCCCATCCCTACCTTGCTAATCTGGGCCATCACAGAGGACAACCATGTCCCAAACTGGACTGTGAACCCTAAGAACATGGACTAAGAGCAGGTCTAGGGAATACATCCCCAGCACCACACCACATGGAGCTAGGAATCTGGAGACTTCGATGAACAGAATGTCAATAAATGAATGAATGAATGATGGGATGGAGGAAGGAAGGCCAGACTAAGGCCTTTGGCTTTTGTCCTGTGAGTGAAGGGAAAACATGAGAAAGCTTGAAGGGAGAGGTGGGAAAAACTCACTGCGGGGGGAGAGGGGATGGGGTCTCCCAGGGCAGGGCTAGGGCACCTGGTAGCGCCGGATGAGAGCCTCATTCTTCCGACGCAGAGCCTCGATCCTCTTGTCTAACTCAGCGTCTTTCTCCTCCTTTGACTTCAAATCTAGTGTGGTAGCCTGTGGTGGGGAAACAGTTGAGGGGAAAGAATGATCTTCCTGCCAAGGGCATTTTACCTAGGATCCCACCTTCCCCACTCCCTTCCCCCCTCTGCAACTCACCATCTCATCAGCTGTGATCTTCTCACAGAAAAGGGATGCACCACTTGGGGGTCCTGGGGGAAGAGAACAGTTCTAAAACGCTGGCTCCTCTCCTTTACTGAGGGTTCTGAAAACACTGACTCACAGAAAAATACACTTGTACTTCTTCAAGGGAATTCTCAAGACTAGCCTCGCCTCTTCCCTGAAGAAATAGAAACCCTGCCCTTCAGTTTTAGACCCACCCATGCAATTAGTCAGACCCACCTTGGGAAAAGTCTGGCTCCACCCTTCTACCTAATACTAATTCCTCCAAACAAAGATGTCAGTCCAGGTTCCATAGCCTATAATTTTAGCCAGGATCGGGATCTCAGAAGGTCGGCTACAAACAGCAAAAGTAACTTCTAGAGGGCCAGCAGGATGGCTTGGGGGATAAAAGTGCTTGCCGCCAAGCCTGAGAATCTGAGGTCAATTCCCAGGATCCATAAAATGGAAGGAGAGAATAGATTCCCACCAGTTGTGCTCTGACCTCCGTGTGATCACACATACATGCACAAAGTAAATAAAACCTAGTGAAAAGCAGTTCCAACTCTCCGAGAACTTTGATCCCTGGCTCCCATAAGACTGACACAGCCCAGGCCCCAGCATTCTGAAAAGGCACTTGTCATCTCCTACCAAGCCAGAAAAGATCCTGCAAGCAGGCCCAGGATTCACTTCCGCGGGATTCCTAGACCGGACTTGACCTCCATAGTGATACTCAGTCCAGAAGACAGAAATTCTACAAATGCTTACAAGAAAAAAACTGCCAGCGCACCCGCGCCCCTAACCTCCACGAAACTCACTGGTCCCGCCCCGACCGGGATAAAACTTCAGGCCTCACCTTCCCCCCCACCCAGACTTCTGGCCCCTCCCATTTAAAAAAATTATACAATCAAGCTGGCTCCGCCTCCAACTTAACCCTGCTCCCAACGTGCCGGGAAACATTCTGGCCACGCCTCTGAGTCCCGCCCCATCCTCAAGCTTCGGATGCATTTATGTATAAGAAAAAACTTTTCGGCTCCAGCCCCACCGTTCTTCCCTACCCTCCGCCCCATCCCGCACAGCACCCCAACTCCACCGGCAAAATCCCTGACATTTTGGTCCCGCCTCTACCCAGTTTAAGGCAGTCTCTGGACCCTCCCCTAGCTTCTGAGCAATGATCAGGACCGACTTCCAAAACCAAGAAACTTTACGGGCTTGCCCAGGGCGTCTCCGCCCCAAACCCTGGGCCCACCCCCTAAATACTACGCCCTAACATAACCATCAACGCAAAAAACCCGCCCCCTACGGAGAGCAACTCTCTGGCCCGCCCCCAGCTTCTGAGCCACGCTCAGGACAAACTCCAGTTCAGTCACCGCCTCTTCACCCAACCAACGCCCAAACCCTTCCCCTTTCCCCACGCCCCTCAAAACCTTGGCTCCGCCCCTAGCTCTCATGGACACGCCCCCGTGACACTCCGCACAAACTAGACCCTGACCTTTGAAACACCCTGGCTCTGCCTCCAGACGCTCCGCCCCCTTCCTTTACCGCGCCCCGTTCCGTTTTGGCCCTGACCCTGTTTTCCCGTCCACAGTCCAAACTCCACCCCCTTCGGCCCCGACAATGCTCTAGCCCCGCCCCCATCTCCCCCGGCATTTCCCCCCCCCCATTCCGCCCTTTATCCCCGCCCCACAAGTTTGTCCCGCCCCCAGCATCCCCTCCCAACGTCCCGGGCCCGCCCACTAGTACTCCAGCCAAGACTCCGGTCCCGCCCCAGCCCGGACCCAACTCTGAAGCCCCGCCCTGCCAAGGCAGCCACCCAGGCTCGGGCCCGCCCGCACCCGCCCCGCCGGCCCTGCCCACATGCTCACGGCCCACCCCACAGCGCCCCTCCGGAGACCCATGTGGGCGTCGTGTCCCCGCCCCCCGCAGAGTAGCCTGACCCCGCCCCCGCCGGCCGCTCATCTCCCGCCCGCGCGCGCTCCCGCTCCCCTCACGTGGGCGAACAGGCCCCGCCCTCTCCGGGCGCGCTCCCGGCCCCCTCCCCCGGTCACCTGTCCCGGAGACCCCGCGGCGCCTGCGACTCCGACCCCGTCAGCCTCCTCGTCCGCAGCTCCCGGGCCTCACACGTCACTTCTGGTCCGCTCCACGTGAAAAGAGGAAATAAAGAGGGGCACTTCCGGTCCGGACAGCCCATTTCCGGATGCCTTAAAGGGGCCGCATCCCCCTCAGGCTCTGCAGAATGTGGCCGGAGCGTGTTTCTTACCCGTCGCCTCAGGAAATGGACCTGTAGCCCTTAATCTCTGTACTCCTCCTTTTTCGCTCAGGCCATTTAGCCACTGATTCTCTATTTTAGTAAGTAAAAGCCAGACATCATACAATAACCCCTGGAAACGTAAATTAAACTAATTTACGTCTTGCCAATGAAACCTTAAGTTTTAGAAACTAACCAATTCATAAAAATATATCTAAAATTTTTAGGAAACAACTGTATAACCAAAGCAGGGCATGGAGGCACGTCTCTAATTTTAGCACTTGGGAGACTGAGGCAGGAGAATTGCCTCAAAGCCAAGAACAGCGTGAAATATATATCTATATATAGGTATATATATGTATATAGGTATATATAGTTCCAGGCCAGCCAGGACTATGCAGACCCTGATTCGATAGATAGATAGATAGATAGATAGATAGATAGATAGATAGATAGATAGATAGATAGATAGCACTTGCCAATCATGATGACCTCAGTGTGACCCCTGGACTATCAGGTGCACCAGCTCCTTTACCTGTTAAGAACTTGCTGGCCCTTGAAGTACTAGTGTTTTCTTTGGTTTTTACGATCTCACGTGAGATTGGCTCTAAACTCCTGGTTCTCCTGCTTCAGCCCCTTCAGTACTGAGGTAGGATTCCAGACCTGCAGGGACTATGACCACCAAATTGGCCATCTCAAATTGCTGTGAGGTATTCCATGTGGTGATGGCCACAATTCGTCCAACTGGGTCTCATGGACGTTAGGATTATTTCAGTTTCAGTTAGCAGGAATTACCAACAGTACTTCACTGAACTTCCACAGGGAGAGGTGTGTGTGTGTGTGTGTGTGTGTGTGGTACAAGACGCAGGCTTGTGACCAGGTTTGTTACTTAGCTACATCTTTGTTGTTTGCTTTAAAATGAAAAAATATGCCAACTGGGCAGTGGTGGTGCATGCCTTTAATCCCAGCACTCAGGAGGCAGAGGCAGGTGGATCTCTGTGAGTTCAAGGCCATCCTAGTCTACAAGAGCTAGTTCAAGAGCTAGTTCCAGGACAGGCTCCAAAGCTACAGAGAAACCCTGTCTCAAAAAAAAAAAAAAAAAAAAAATGCCAGCCCAGGCAGTGGTGGCACATGCCTTTAATCCCAGCACTCAGAAAGGCCTACACAGATCAACCTCTGTGAGTTCAAGGTCAGTGTGGTCTACATAGTAAGTTCCAAGACAGCCGTAGCTACATTATGAGACCCTGTCTCAAATTAACATATATTAATTTATATATTTTGTGTGTGTGTATCTCATGTGTATGGGGTTTTTGCCTGCATGTAATGCTGTGTATGGCATGACTGCCTGAAGCCTTCAGCGACCAAAGGGCAAATGGTCCCCAAAACTGGAATTTCATGCAGTTGTGAGCCTCTTTGTAGGTGCTGGGAGCTAAACCTGGTTTCTCTGCAAAAGTACTAAGCACTCACCAGGCGGTGGTGTCACACGCCTTTAATCCCAGCACTCAGGAGGCAGAGGCAGGCGGATCCCTGTGAGTTCGAGGCCAGCCTGGTCTACAAGAGCTAGTTACCCTGTCTCGAAAATCAAAAAAAAAAAAAAAAGTATTAAGCACTCTTAACCACTAAGCTAATATGTACCCTTTTTGAAGTTTTTTGAGACAGGCTCTTCCTGTGTATCTAAGCTGTCCCAAAGCCCAGGTGATTCTCCAGGCTCTGTCTCCTGAATGCTGGGGCTTACAGCTGTGAACTATTCCGCCAGCCCAACATTTTTGCTGGTCCAGTTTTTTGGGTTTTTTTTTTTTTTTT